GGATCTTATCCTAGTTTACAAGATAACAAACGGTCTTGAGAAAGGATTACGCGTTGAGGACATGTTTCAGTGGCACCTCTTGCCCCATCTCCGTGGGCACACAATGAAGCTGCGCACGAAGATGTCCAAACTAAACCTCCGCTTTGAATTCTTCACGCAACGGCCCATACAACAGTGGAATAACCTCCCATAGTCAGTCGTTGAGGTCACTTCCCTTTGGATGTACAAAAAATGCCTGGATAATTACATATCTCCCCTCTCTTCCCTCCAAGTCTAAACTCTAACCAGACTTACATTAAAAAAAACAATGCTACTCACTGTTTGCCAATACTATGTTAGTAGTGGTAATTTTTATAGGTGCATGTACACGTGAAACGCACTGGCATGTAATCAATAGGGTTTTCACAGGCATTGCCTATTATCCTCACCAAATAAACTGGAACTCATGTTTTCGTTTGCGGTAGTTCGCGTGAATGCCTCAGACTACTGTAGCCCTCGTTCAGTTTGCCTAGCTTGCCTCAGTGTCTGCTTCGGGTTGCGTCAGCGTTTGCTGCGGTTTGTTGGAGCCCGCTAGTGCCCATCGAGGGTGGAACTGTCGTCGGGTCAATAGGTCGCGGACGACGTCTAATGACCAAACACGTAGGATCGAACAAACATGAAAGCAGATATAATCATTTGCATCTATGATGGATGGTGGATGCAGACCTTGAGCTTAATATATCGTAAAAACTGGACGGCAGGCCTCTCCACAAATATAATTTCAAGGCAAGGCGTCCTTTACGAAAATGTGTAGATTTATTCAGTACATCTTCAAAATTGGACCCCAGGTTGTCTTCAGACTTGAGAAAAGATGTACGAAGAATAGTTAGCATTTCAAAGTGCTCATACAGTTATATGGTAATCTGGTGTGGGGGTTAATTAGGGGTTACAATTTGCGTCACATCGTAGTGGACATAAACGGCTGTCGCAATGGCGTGATGGCTAATTGGCAAATATAATTTGAGCCAGTCCGGGGTCAAGCTAGGTCATCGGGTGTGGACGCTAATTGCGGTTCATGTTGGTCCATGTTTTTAGCTGCAGTCTCTTCCACCGTTCTTTGAGGTGTTTTTATGCTCCAGCTAATTCGATACGCCGATTTATGCATGAATCATCAAAGTGCATGTCCTTAAGAAATTCCCGGCCGTTTTTGGATGGGCAACCTCCGATGATGCGTGATTTTTTTTTTTACCATAGAAGCCTATGTCCTGTCTCAATGAAATGCATAGCCACTTCCGAAAAACGGTCATGTCTCTTCGCTGCCGATTGGTGCTCGTGGATGCGTGTGGAGACTGATCTTCCTGTTTGGCCACAATATACCGTACCACAAGATCCACATGGGATTTTATAGATGGCTTCTTCGTCATCGAGATGGCCAACCCTATCCTTAGGTGAAATAGCTGAGTGCGCAAAATAGCCAGTGGTTTGTGCGCCACTTTTATTTGGTGTTTCGGCAAATGTCCTTGAACTAGGTCAGACACGTTCCTTACAAATGGAAGGATTCGCCATGCGTTTGTTTTGGGCGCCTGAGTGGAACTATCTGGTCCCTTTTTGTTGGTATTTTTTGTTGTCATATGCATGGGCGTATAAAGCCTCAGGGATTATATTTGCGGGAAAACAATTCAACTAGTTAATTGAGCTCGTTTCGGTAGGTTTGTTTGTCAGAGCAGTGTGCCTTCGCTCGACGTAGCAGACTGTTGAAGGCACTCCTTTTGTGAGAAATGGGGTTGTTGCTCTCATAGTTAAGAACAAATTCCGCGTAGGTTTCTTTGTGGTGAACGGACGTTTGTGATGTTCAGTCAGCCTTTTGCCGCTCGAGAATATCCATATTTGGGCGTTTGTTGATAACCCCGTTCTCGACAACAAACGTGTCGTCTACATACCGTACCCATGACTTAGGGTTAATCGATGGAAGGGTCATTGATTTTAGCCTCTGAATGGTTATTTCGGCAAGGAATGCAGAAAGGGGTGAGCCCATTAGAGTCCTTTTCAATTATTTATAGTAGTGGTGATCAAATGATACATGGTTTCGCGAAAGTTTGACGCGGGCACAATTAGCATTTTTGCACTTGTACCGAAAACAGAACATTTTGCCAAAGTCTTAAGTGTAACAACAGCCATCACATCTAACCTAGGGTATCAGATCGCATCCTGTTATGGAAAGAGCATGCTTGGGGCATTTATAAGGGATGCTCATTATTGACCGCCAAAGTTCCATTCTGCAAAGGGGCAGTAAATGGAGATCTGTCGCAGTAATCTTCCCTACACTTATTTGGATCAGTAGGTGAAAAAATTGCCCATGTATCGGAACTGAAAAGACGAAAGAAGAAGATTCTTGTAGACAAAAATGGAAGCCCATTTCTCAGCCAGCTGTTACAAGCCAACAATCTGTAGCAAAGTTTGCGTATTAATCTCCCAGAGCCCTCAGTGCAACAGAAGAGGACGTGCTTTAAAAAGGGATGAAATACGACCATTCTGATTCTAATTACTTGTGCTTCCTAGCCAGGTTTGATTCTATCCTACTAACAGCAGGCGCAATTTTCTATCAAATAAGAACGAATTTTTTCGTGCATGCCTTAAATAAAAATATTTGAATTTATAAAGGCAGTCAAAATCAATGATAAAATGCCTTCTATTGAAGTCGTCATTTTTTAGAAAGTCAATTTTTTCGCAGCGGTCAAAAAGAAGCTTATCTCAGCATCCCAGCGTGACCGAAAATAATTAAACTTGGATTGCATGATAAACACTATTGCAGAACACTTAGTGAATCTTGCCTTGCGAGTAATTACCTTTCTTTTTCAAATTGGGAAATGTTGCTTGTAACACTCACCATACTGTATATTTGTAACGGTAGAGCATTGCTAGAACGTTCAGTTAAAGTGGTTATAAATGACCCTTACTAAGTGAGTCGAAGGCACTCGGAGGCACTCGGAGGCACTTAATGAGTAAAATTGCATTGAGCTTAACTAAAACGAGTGCAATAAAGGATTTTCTAACTTCCCTTCCTTCACGAGGGAATATTCAACATCTATATTTTTTCTATGTAAAGCATTGCTAGAACATTCAGTTATTACGGTTATAAATGATCTCACCTAGGCGAGTTGACTTTATACATCTTATAATTTATCAGTATCGAAGCACTCACGATGACAAGCCTAAATTATACGAATATTACCATAATTACAAACGCTTAATTGCAACACGTTAAAAATGCAAGCATGGCGAGTAAATTGGGCCTGCTATGACGCAGTAGGTGAAGAAAATTTAAGTTTTCATACTCACACTTTTTTGGCTTCTTGGAATTCAGCTCGTCTAGTTGGCCGTCAAGTAGTTCAGCCAATCCGGCCTCAAGTTTCCAAAAACCGGTTAAGTTCTGCAGCTCAGCAATGGCTACCAGAATGTCTTTTGGTGCCTCCGCTTGCTCTGTCCTATATGCACGTTGTTGTGACAGTACAGGCCCAGAGCCACCCATTCCAACTAGATTTAATTAAATATACTTTAAAGCAAACTGTGAAGGCAAATAAATAAATAATGATGAGACTTTGCAGAAAACGCTTAGATTCTTAATTATGCTCGCCGGCGCTTAAAGCCCTTCATAAAGGTCTGAGAGGTTTGTGAGGGAGAAATGTCTGATTTCCGTATACGCACACATCAGTGACAAAAATGTCTGCGAACCGCAGAAAGTATTTTTGAGAGAAAGTGCCTACGGCAAAACGTTTAAAGTGGTTTCGTCCTATGATATTTTGGAAGTTCTGGAACTTACCATCTTTAACAATCCGCGATAAGACGTAATTTAGCAAAACCTATGCATCAAGCCGACCGACTCAGAGACATAGTAAACGCGTATGAAATTGTTGAATGCTGAACAGATTGTCGGTTTTATATTTCAGGATTTTAAACAGCAGCTTACTTTGAACTGACCGCGCAGACAGGTCTAAAAAGCGAAACAGTAAAAAATAACTATGATATTATGCAAACACCTACTGCAAAATTTTTCAAATTGTCTTATCATGCACGAATTTAAACGACTTGTTGAAAAACTTTACGACTCCGGCACAATCCGAAGCCTCGAAGATGGCGTGTAGCGATTGAAGAGAGGCAAAAAGGTGAGGCAAATGAAATTATAGGCTCTGGAATTTCGCGCTTGTTCGCCTATCAATTTGAATTTCACATGTGAAGCCGTCGTCATGACATCTGGAGACGCATAATAGTTTCACTAGTACTATCGCTGTAATAAAGTAAGCTTGAGTTTTCCAATACAATCTTTGAATTTCATTCACCCACACTTACTGTTAAGAGTTGATTCTAAGCCTTTCTCATCGCTGTTTCATTCAACTATTCTGCTATCTATAATTGTCCGAGTAAGAGTTAAAAGCGAACGATAAATATATTTACATCCAAATCCCACTATATCAGAAAATGTTTTATGCATCATAAAGCGTATAGATGCCTGGAGATCATGGAGAGGAACATACATTTGTCGATAAGCGTAATTTTTTTGCAGAAGTGACGGTTGTGCAAAGAAAGGTACTTTAAGGGCAAGGAGAGCTGTCCGTAGAAGATATGGAGTTAAAGGTGGGTATTTAGAGTAACACGAATATATTTTTTTCAGAAGGAATGACAGATAGAATGAAACCGTCAGTCACGTGAAGCAATTTTACGGTTCTCGACACAAACGGTGTAAGTACGGGCAAATTGCCAGTCATCTCATTTTCACGCCGCCTGCATAAAAGGGTCGGCTTGTTCAGAACGTTGTTTTATTGGGTAGGAAGGGGAGGGTGACGGGGGTCTTTAGGGTTCGTTATGAGCATTTTTCGTGCGTCCAACGCGCGGAATGAATATGGTGCTACCCAAGTAGAAATTGACACAGCTCGTTAGATGGGGATAAGAGGACGAAAATTAAGGCGAGCTCTGATGTGAACCGGGCCTTAAAAATATACTGACACAAAAGCAAACAAACCCACATTCAAAATCCTGGTTGCCATCGATGAGACACATACCCAACGCTAACTTTAATTTGCGTCACATATGACTTATATTAGCACCGGTAATACTATAAATACTATACCATCCAGTTTCAGCGCCATCCAGTTGCAGTAAAAAAGTTGGCAACAGTAGCTTATGTAGCCCCACGCATTAATCCCTACAACCTACATATTCCCCTATAAAAGCGGTGTTTATCGGGTTTTATGGGTGGCAAATTAGGACACGCAGTGAAATATACTTCAATAAATTCTAAATGTATTTTTATCTTACTGTATTAAGGAGTGTTTTGATTTATATCTGTAGAATTTCCTGATGTGTATTATTATTTAATTTATTGCGAAAAACCTGGCTTATCAAACTGCTGGTTTCTTGAACTTTCCGAAAATTTGAAATGGTGGTTAGCAGGTGGTCTACTTCAACTTAGCTGTTGTCCAACTTACGGTTCTGAAGTTAGATTAGTATCGTCCACTTTCAATTTACATGCGGAAAAACCTCCTTGCAGCGGCCGCGGAAAGCAACTTCGACTACATTTTTTAACTTAACACTTACTTCTTACAATTTCTTTCTCTGCCTATCCTATTTCCCCACCCCACAAAACTGTATAACCACCGTTTTTGCCGGACAAAATGCTGGGACTAGGGGTTATGAGTGGGGCTACAGAAGCTACTGTTGCCGAAAAGTTGGTAGCAGTATCAGTGTCGGCCTTCTTAAGCCTAAGGGTGCGTGTGTGTAGGTATCATAATTACACCTGCGCAAAGGTCTCCTCTCAACCAAGTTCGAATCACGCGGTATTCTGGCATGCATTGGAGACACTGGCCTATCTAATGTTGAACCTATCTTGTTACCGACTCAGGCAGGCAACGTCTACGTCCGACTAAAGCGAACTCCTTTGTCAAATCATATGGTGGACCTCAGTGAAATCAGCTGCCGAACTAAGATCATCATCAGCAGGCTACTCTAGTTGTATAGGCCAGTGGATGCGCGTAACGGCTTAGATGGTGAATATACGGTAAGATAAACGGTATGTTGTCGGTAGACAGTGACAGGGGTGGTCTGTTTTCTTTGACCTACTACAAATCGTTGACAGCCATACGCACTCTCCGCGTCTGACGCACGGATATAGCTCACAGAATACGCTCGCATCCCCCAGCACTCCACGTCACCGCCACGAACACTTTGACCCCACCATACAAGGGGCATGGGTATTACGTGTTATACTAAGCCTAAACCATATAATCATTGTTCATAACCTCCGTGAATATATTGGCCTGACAATGAATGATTAAACATATTTTTGTCAGTGTAATTCTCCATCGTGACACGACAATTTTCGTAGGAATACGTATTGATTCATAGCAATGTTGGGATGGATATGGTGGTCGAAATATGTTGCCTTCATCCTTATGAGTACAAAATAGTTTTTCAAGCAAAGGAATATACACGAAAAAAAAAACGGACGCTAGTCCCCTCTAACGTTGTGAAAGCACGCAAGGTTGGGGCTCTCTGGGTCTGTGACACATCTGGCGCCATTCTTATACAAAAGTAAATTTTAGGGCTGTTTTGCCACAAAACTGAGTCATAGTTTAGGTAAGTGTGAGATATACAATGTCAAATATTACCAAAAAATAAATATACATATAAATATATACAGAAATCAACTACACTGAGAAAGGCACATATACGTCCCCGAACGTGCACACCCAAAGGCCTTAAAACGCCATCTCCGTTGTACAGAACTGGCGATTATACTCCGTCAGCCTAAGTATGCCTGTCAGGATGAATTGCTAAAAAACATACATTTGTAAATCACACGCTGCAATCCTAACATGACAGTTTTCACAGTAATCAGATCTTTTGTTGAGACCGTAAGTGTACGCTGAATAACCGAGCTTTCGAACAAGTGCATATCCATGGAACCGAAACCGCAGCAGCCTAAGTTTGTCACGCCACCTACAATCCGTTTATTTTAAGGTTCAAATTGTGGCTGATTAGCCAGATATTTGACTCATGTCATAGGTAACTGTCGGGGCATAAACGTTTGAAAATAAACAGATTAATGTACCGCATTTTTTACGTTAAAGGTAGTTGACTTTTGGAAAAAGAGCAGGCGAAATTAAGGTGTACTTGAAAGCCTGAGTCGTGCCCTGTTCGGCAAAAATGCTTCCGCGAACTTTGGTTCATCCACGCAACAAGCTACATCTCAGGTAACAAAGCGGCTCGTAAAACGTTTTGCCTGCGACGGACATTGGATATCAGAAGCAAGCATATTGTACTCATTACTACTGTATTTTTGCGCGACAAATCACACAAAACCAGTGTCTTATCTACATTTAGATAGATGCATAAGAAAAACATATGTACTAGTACATGTATATTTTACATTTTCTGAGTGAATCTTTCTCTAAATATATGCATCCACTCTTTGCACTGACTGATAACCACGAAATCTTCAGCGAAGTTCTAACCGGTAACCGATAGTATTCACCGAGGTGACATGATACACCCTAGTGTTAGAACAGATCGATGCTAAAAGGTCAGACATCATTTTGCCGAAATTCTGCCCCTGCATCTCATGCATTTATCCGGACATTGAGCAAGTAACTACGACGGGAGTTCTATAGGCTCTTTCCACATGTTACTCCTCTGCAACAGGTGTGATCCAAGCCCAAAACGGCCAAGGAATACTGCAGCACAGAATGCTACAGACTGAAGCTTATGTCAGCCCACGCCATCAGATCAGTCGTTTTTTCGTTTTTTTTGGCTAACCAATAGGTGGTTGTATAAATCCTGGAATACTTCATGAGGACAAATTTGCGCTTTGGGTTCGTCGAACCTGTCTGTACACAATCCTATGCGAAACAGCGAACGTCAGCGGACACAGGTGGTGCCTGCACCATCGAAATTATTTCAAATCCCAATTCCGGCGTAACTTTTGACACTTGATTTACAACTTGGGCCAAAGCCGATAAACGTGGAGAATGCATTTGTTGTTACGCAAATTGGACACCCAAGAGCACGAGTGGTTTATGCACATGCTTTTACCGAAAACAAAAAGTGAGTACAAATTGGACGAAAGCGGTAAACGACTGAGAAAAGTTCAGCAAAAAGTCGTCGTCGCCTGTTGCGTGGAAGTAAATAGCAGGACGGACGATATTCTGACGTTCGGCAGAATCGTCAATCACGAGTGTGAACAGTTAAATGTGCAGACCAGCAAAGAACAGCAACTCAAGTGTTTGTCATTTGTTTGTGTCACTCAATGGCCTCGCGATCCTACATGCTCAGCAAAATTACATTAATCCTGACCTTAACCTAAGAACATAGACAGCCGAGTGTCAACCACTTATCAACCGTAAACACTTATCATTTTAACTACTACTGGACACATAAGATATGCCACAACTACGGCCATAACTCACAAGTCTACTTTCCAGCAAAGCCTTTGAAACACTTAGGCGATTGGGCCATGGATGAACGCAAGCAGGTCATTTGTA